TGCAAACATATAAGTAACGGTGCGATTTTGGGTGAAGATGGAGCAATTTTATTGTATCCATCTTCTTTCCTTTCTGAATAGCATTTTCCAGGTATTACAGGTTGTTAGTTATTAATTCCTCCTTGTTCCTACCAAGTCCATTAGATAGGAAAATATTGATAACTTCTCTCCCAAACACAGATTCTGTAACAAGGGCATAACTCTCTCACTTTGCAATTACTAACTAGAGCATTTAGAGAAAAGAGAGAAATGTAGAAAATATATGCACAACTTGGGTTACCTGGATGGTTGACAGCATTTTTCTTCTTCAAAAAGAGAAGATGAGGGTTATTTCCTCTTTTATGGTTTTGAATGATACTGGAAACCTCTCTTGGTCTCGCATCTCTTCCAAAGAAGAACCCAAAAGGTGTAGGAGAAGGCCTGCATACAAACTGGGGACATAATCCTACATTCTCTTAATTTACCTGAGAACCAGAGCCAGACCTGGGAGGCTGAGATTCAGATAGCTGTGAAATAAATAGCAAAGTACCCTTTTAAACTAACCAGAAGCTCAAAATAAGTAGCAGTATTTGTTTTTTGTGTACCTTTAAAGGAAGCAGACATCAGCTACAATTCAAACTTTCTTTCTTTCCCCCCCGTCCCCCTCCCCCCCCCCCCCCCCCCCCAGTTATGTGAACACAGTGCATAAGATTAAGACATTTCCAGCATGTAAATTCAATCATGTGAGAAGTCCCACTGATTTCAGGCAGTGACTTCCTATTGAGTCAGCAAAGCACTTCTGCCTGCGTGTGATTTTAAGATGACTAATCTCCCTGGCTGCGCCCGCAGTGGCGGGAGGTGCCTCGGCAGGATGTCCTGCGGCCTCCTGGCTGTGTCCTGCCTCTGCTCTGGGACAGGATCGGTGTGAGCACGGGCTCCCACACGCTGCGCTTTCGTCCCTGTGCCCGGAGCAGCAAGAAGTGCCCTGTGCTTTGCGAGAGCCTGCAGCCGGGCTGACAGGGGGATGCTCCAGCGGGGCATCGCTGCTGCTGCATGGCCAAAAGCCCGGCTTCGTGCTTAGTCTTACCCACATGCTGAAACTCTCTGGTAGTTTGGAGTGGTACTATAGCAGCCCTGGCTTCAAGGAGATTTTCACAACTTCTCTAATGAACCTCTCACAGTCTTTAAATAATGCAGCTATTTATAGGCTAGGTCTATCCTGAACAGATTGCAGAAGCTGCACAAAAGCTCATTGCTTCAGCAACGAAGCTGCAGAGAAACATCAGAGCAGACTGAAATCACTCAGTATGGTTACATACAGTCAAATATAATCAATGTTTTGCATGTTTAGACTCACTGCTTAACTGAAAAGTTAATGGCATTTTAACACATTTCTATCATTTTCTTAGAAGTGAGAGCTCTTTGTGTGAAGTACAAGAATTTTCAAGTCTTAGACTAAGGGCTAAACCCTGCCCTTGCTCACAACATCAAATTTTAGGTGTGGCATCGCTGAAGTTTAACAGAACACCCCCAAGTAGGCAGAGCAGAAATTGGACATTGTCAGAAACCATCACCAACCATCTCATCTTTCTCTTTCAAATTACTCCTTTTAGGCTTTAGCAAACATCCTGGGTCTTGCAGTCCCAGCATGTATCATGAAATGAAAATATTAATTAAAACCTGTTCAACCAATGCACTCATGAGAAAGCATTGCTGCTGTTCTTTTTATCACCCAAGCCCATTTCATCTTAAATATTTCTGAGATGTGCAAGATGCAGGTAGCATGAAGCAGCAGAACTTTGTGCATATGGCTCACCTGAATCTTTCTTAGAAAAAATCAGAGAAAGAATTTTACTGCTTTGACCTTCGCAGACTTGTGTCTCTCTGACACTTGTTCGTGAAGTTCCTGTAAACAGCAGATTTACGCAAACATGATTTGCTTATGTATGTTATAAATATTTTCCTGAATCTTAAGGGAGAATTGACATTCAATACAGGTGTTGGAGTAAGTACTGCAGGCCCTTGGCTTTCATTGCTGCGGTCAGAAGAGGGTTTAGTGACACCCTTTAGCATAGAGAATCCCAGCTCTTGCTACCTTCTGTGTCCTAAGGTTTTATCTCTGTAAGAGGAACAGGGATTTCCTCTGGGGATTAGGAGGAGATAAAAACCCAAGACAGAGCTACTACTTCATTACACTACAAAGCACAAATGGATGAAAAAGACAGTCAGTAATTGTCTTTCTCTTTGGCAATTGATTCCTATTTAGAGGCTCTGAAGAGAAACAAGGTCCCTCTTTTTTAACCAGGTCTGTAAGGACACAGGCCATAGATAGACTTACAAACCTAACTGCTACCGAGAGCTGCAGAATTCTATATTTATATGGTGTTGAGACTCTCAGTATTTCTTCACAGTCCATTCCTGCTTCTGCAAGTGCACTGAGCAGGTCCTTGCTACAGGCATGGGAAATTCATATAACCCCCGTCACCAGCAGTCTCATTAATGCCAATGGGCCATCTTGAACTAGTTTTTCCTGCACTGGTTTAGACTGTTGATACACCCAGGCAGAGAAATTTCACATCCAGCCCTCCTCAGACTTTTGAAGGATAAGGTTAGTCCAGACATGTTCCAGTGGGCTTGTATGAGTAGCCTAGAAATTCCCAGAGACCTCAGAACTATTAAACAGTCCAACAGCAGCCCTTTTGACCCTGACACAGGGGTTTTTCTAGATAGTTTTTTTCCATCTGTTTAATTACGTTTTGCTTCTGAACTGTTGCAAAATAAAGCAAAGCAAGATAAAGACCTTGACCTGATAGTATAGCTTCATGGCAGGAAATGTGTTAGCAAAAAAGACAATCCTTCTGCTTTAAGTTTTACTTATAATTACACTGGTGGTACCTTGTCTAGAACAGCTGACTGTCTTAAAAAAAATAATTTAGCAAGAATGACATATTTTGTATCATGTAAGGTATCAGTGCCCACCAGTAAAATTTTATAATATTAATAAAAACCCAAAAATTTTATTTTCATATTATTTAGATGTTTAATTGTAGCTACAATATTAAGTTATAAATATGCTCTATGACAGAAAATAAAAGCAGCTTATTGCTCGCAGACTAGTTTAGAAACTTTTTTTCTGCTGGATTAAAAATTTCTGGTGAAATTGGTGAGCAGTGCACTCAGCACATCCTGTTAGCTGAGTCAATTGAAATTGCACCTGTTCTTGGAAGCAAGTCCTAACAAATGCAACCCATATATATTGTAAAGAAAAGGACTTGTATGCACTTTTTCCAATTAACATCTGCCTTTTGGCGAGTCATTAACCTATTTTCTCACAAAGAAAGAGCTTCAATTGTATTATGCATCTGAAGCATGCAAAAGTCCCTGAGGGGGTACTCTGACAAAAACATACTGTTCCTGGATCTAATGTGAATATACATATTCATTAATTGTTTGGGGCAATGAGTACAGAATTTCTGCTTTTTACAAGTCTTACAAGGTAAACAGGTTACATAAAGCTATGTCCCTGGAAATAGTCACATCCTAGTCACTGTCACTCAGTAGAAAAATCAGGAGTGATTTTGTGCTGTGATATAGCAATCAAAATAATTCAGCAACACTGTAAAAAACTTCTAGGAAGAAAAAAGAACGTTGAACCCTAAAAATAGCACAGCATATTTATTTATTTAAAGAGATATAAAGATAGTAAGTTGTATTTTTAAAATCCCTCATGTTATATGGATCTGTTCATGTCATCCTAAAATGGCAATGAGAATCTATTCTACCACTATTTTTCCAGCTAGAAAATCAGTATGATTAAAATTTAAAACTACAGATTTAGATTTCTCACAATGAAGATGATAATAAAAAAACTGATTATTATCTTACATGTGTAAAAGCAAGAAGCAAATTTCCCTGAAAAACAAGGGAATTGTTCAGATGCATTCACCTCTGGGAACTGATTTTCCAAAACCCTAAATTTATAAAAAATATATCAATAGCAAAAAGTGAATGCTGAAGTAACAATTGGTAGCATTTCTTTCAATTTGGAAGAGCATTTTTAGTTTGAAATGTCTGCTGAAGTACGTTGCAATGAGCTGCTGAGCTACTGCACAGCACTTTGACACCTGAGGAACTTGAAGTTGGGTTTCTCCAGAGACAGTCTCCCAGCAACAACTGTTCCTGCCACCACCTTCTCTCTCTCAACACACAAACCTTGGGGATCTACTACATGTCATCCTTTTTAATAATTAATTGAGCCATTTTTGCAGTGACATGCCTGAAAGCTGGAAGAAGTCTTTCTCCAGCAGGGGGGCCTATTTATATTTAGTATCAGAGGGATAATTTAGCCTGAGGGAAAGCGTACTGCATCGCATCAGGTACATTGTTGAGCTTGTTTAGAACAAGTATGGGCTATCAGTACTTCATTGCAGTCTCCAATCAGATACAACTTTCATAATTTAAAGATCCATGCAATTATTTTTTTCACATAGTGCAAAACCACAGCTAAGAGTAAACAGCAGTCATTTTCCTCTAGTTTTATAATTCAAATTAGTCAAGTCACCAGTTACTTGACAGAGTACAAACCCTAGAGTAAATGCTTCTGAAGGTTTAACAGCCTTGGCAGGGCCTTTTAAAGCCGGTATTTCTGTCCCAAAACTTTATTAGAAATCATATGGATCAAAAGAATATGATAACTAGCCCATATCAATGCTTTTTGAAAAGAAACATCACGTTAGATGATTGTGGCTGTGTTTTAGGAAAGTCATCACAGCTTGAGGAAAATACATCCATCCTGTTTTCAACCAACCATGACCAGACATCCTCCCAAGTGTCATCATGTTGAGTTTCAATATCAACAGACCACCCGACAGAATGACAATAACATGTCTTAATTTGGGAATGTTATGTTGGTTCACCAGATGCATAAACAACGGAGGAATAAACTGGATTAAGTATTAAATGCTCCAGATAACAGGTACTGAAAAGGTAGAGGGATTAATGACAGGAGCTAAGGCAGAAGGGAATATTTCAGCAGAGATTTTATTTAAAAATATGGAAGTAAAATATCCAAATCTTATTGATAAATAATCCTGAAAAAACTTAAAAGACAATCTGAAGATTTAAGACACACACACACACACATATATATATAAATATAGTCCACCAAGGGAAAACAAGAAATAAGCAAAAATTTTAATAGCTACATGGTTTTGTGTCTTTTAATGGAGACAAGAAAAGACAAAAACCACAAGAGTATTTGCAAATTCATAAAGTGAAGTACATTTGATCCAAAAGACAGCATTTACATAACTTTGTATTATATAGTAGTATAAACAATTGCATAATCAAAGGTCAGGCTGGAATATATACGACCATTCTTTGACAAAAAAATCCATGGTTGGGGTGCCTAGAAACAGTTGCATCCAAAAATTATGAGAGACTGCTTCTTTGCCATAACCAGTAGTGCTCAAGACAGCTGCAAATACAGAGTATTTATTGGCAAAAATCAGAGCTAACAAAGGAAGTGAGGTGATGTCTGGCTACCTGAAGGTGGTTGCTGAGAGAAAATAAGTTATACAAGAAAAATTGCACATTTCTGTGGCTTTAACTGCAGTCATATTTATACAGTGAGCTTGTGTACTAAAGTTGAACTCTGTTGACATTAATGAGGTTCAGCCTGGGAAATGGGCTTTATCTATATACAGTAGTTGCAGAATTGGATTAAAGTGCTTTCCCCTTTCAAGTATCCTATATTTCGACATACGCGCAAAGTTACAGAAAAGGATGATTATCTAGTTTTGACTGTGGATTTACAACAGGTGTTCTGCAATTGCCATTTAAAAAATAACAGACAAAGAAAATAAATATTTTCCATTAAAAAATAAGACCCAAAATCATCTAAGAATTCCATTTTTATTAGAAATAAAACTCAAATCATCATACACTGCAAAGTTTTTCCTGACTTATGTCTGCATTCACAATGCATTACTTGATGGAGTATGTTCAGAGCATGCAAAGCTTGAGCACAAGTGGACATCCTTATAGGATAAGAATCTTTCATATTTATGACCTAGATTTGGCATTGTTTTGTGTTTAGTTCAAATATATTCTTCAGAAGGTGATTTTTGTTTTGTAAATCTGAAAAGTGAATTTTGATGGGGATACAATAAGCAGAAGTGTTCAAGTGCATCAAAACTCATGTTTTGCTGCTGAATTCACATAGATGCTATTATAGCTTCAAAGTGTGACTTAATTTCTGCATTTGTAACTAAAAGTATTCACACTACATCTTCTTGCAATCATTACTAAAATGTTTAGAAGATATAGAATAACACACTACTTTTTGGTAAAACACTTGATAATATGTAAGGGACAAAGAACACCTCTGGCATTTTTGTATTATATCTTACTTAATTTAGGTGTTTAAGTAATGTTGTTTTAGCACAAAGAACATTATTTTCACAATCATTGAGTGAGTTTAAAAATCTGCACATTGGTAACCTGCATAATAACTGCTATTTATCTAAAAATACAAGTTAGTGGCTTAGTTATAGTCGAAGATCTTGTTAGGTTGAAATAAGAGTTCTGGAATGTTCAATGGAAATTATTTAGAAAGTACTAGTTTTGATTGGGCTACACTTCATTGAATAGATAACCAGAATATCTGCTTGCTATCAATGTTTGAATTTTTTTTTTAATTTCTTCCATTTTTAGTACTTTGATTTGATGTTTCTTTTTATAGCAAAATCCAGTGAAGACACATTGCTTGTGATTTTAAGAAGCATACTCATCAATATAGTTCATTTTCATATTTTATTAGTTCTGTTTTCCCTTCTGTAACATTTTTTGCTGATCTTTTATGCATTTTTTCAATTTATCTTCTGTACATGTAAGACGCTGTTCCAGGCCTGAAATAGTCTGCGTGAAGAAAAGAATAATTTCAATTGGGTTTATATTACTCACACAGTATTATAAAAGCATGCAACATAAGAAAAGGAATTTTAACTCAACAGGAAAAAATACTATAAGATGGTTTCTCCTTAGCTATTCCACTATTTACAACTATATTTAAAAATTATGGTTTTGCCTCCATGGAGATTGTCTAAAGGCTTTTGTTTTCACAAAACATTTTCACCGAGAAAGAGAAATACATACACGTATAAGGTAAAGTACTCTGAAATACTATGTGAAAGTTGCATCCATATTTCAATAGAAAAACAACCATCACTGTGACCACAAATGATATCTTTCAAAAAACTAAAAGAAACTTTTATGGCACCCCCAAGAAAAGGAGGTGAGGAAAAAATATATTATTAAAAGGCATTTATTCTCCAAGATATTATCTTCAGCAGAAGAAGTAGGTCTTTGGACCCAGGCTAGCAGTTTCTCTTACAACTCACTCTACAAATCCTTTCCAACTCATGACTTGACTCCATACTTCCCAAAACTTGTTTCTTCCAAATCAACATACATATTGCAAAAGAACACAGAAAAAAAACCCTTAGCTGCTCCATTTTGAAGTGATTTAATGTCAATATATTACAGACTACAAAGAAATATCTGAAAACATAAGCTAAATCTGGATTAAAAAGCTGTATTGAGCATTTGCAAGCAAGTCAGAGTCACTGACTGAGATTGAGTATTTGTGCAGTTTCATTTGCACAAGGACTTACTGCACTGCTGGATTCCTACCTAAGCCAGCACCTCACACACTAAGTTGGGAAATGGATTTAATGGTACATGGCCAATTTACTTTGTACATCCCCTGCTAGTGCGTGATTGTTCCAGCTGGAATGTCTGCTAAACAACTGGCTTCTGACAAAACTACCTAGATCTAACTACTGAAAAACAGCAATTCTCTTCATCCAGAGTTAAAAATACAGCAACAATCTTTATGATTATGTACCAGGAAGCTTTCACTTTAGCAAACACAATACATGCAATCAGTATTTTCTGAAAGGAAAACACTAAAACAGTCACTTGACTATAGAGCTATTCAAAATAACCCCACAGTCTTTAATGTTCTGATTTACTAATATGACTCCAGGGTACTGTTGCCCTTTGATAGTACTGTCATTTTGCACAGCAAGAGTCACCTGTTATTGCATACTTACTAGAGTTAACATCTCCAGCTGCCCCACAATGTGGTCCAAAGCACAGTTCACAGAGGAGGAGATGCTTCTGTGCTGTCCCACACTATGCACAGCTGACCCACTCTCATTCTCTGCCTTCCTTCTTGAACTCATTGCTGAGAAAGAAGCAGAGGGCCTCTGCAGTTCTTCACTTCTGCCAACATCCTCGAATACAGAAACATCATTTGAAGATTCAGGTGCCTTTGTCTTCATTTAAATGGAGCCACACCATAAGATAGACAGGATAGCCAAAAGTCAGGCTATTAAGTAAAAAAAAATCTACGCATATATATGCATACACACAAGGACTCTCAAATTTGCTTTTTGTACCAGGTCCAACTCTTAACATTTCAATTTGTTCTGAAATTCTCTCTAAGAGAGAATTCTAGCTATGATGGATGGGCAATAAGGGAAATCTTAGCAGACTTTACGTACATGTTTAAAGTACATATGATTGAAGAGCTACATGTATACCACTAGGGCATGAATTGAAGCTTGAATAAATACAATTAATGAGGGGCATTTTCTCCAAAAAGATAGCTCTGGTCGACAAAGAAATTAGTTCAGAGTAATCATATGGATGAAAAATCCGTAAGTGACTAGACAATCATAAGTGCTCCTTCCAACTTCATGGTATGAAACCTTTGTTTAGTATGAATTAACCTCTTATCTCATTATTAAAAAAGGTAGTTTTCAGTTGTTTGTTCAGTGATGGTACTTTTGGAAAAATTGATTCCTTCAGAAAATGGGAGAAGGAAACAACAGAGAAGATCGACACAATGGAACATTGAGAGAAATAACTTTGATGTGTAAACTTTGCTTCAGGCTAACTGAGAGAGCATGATCTTCCCCACCAATTTGGTTTTGTCTGTGCCTTAAAATTCTTAATGGTATTTTTGAGTCATGAAAGGTTAGATCATCACTAATTCATTAGAAAGTCATTCACAACAACTTTACCCGAGTAATTAATGACTTATTGAGATTTCTTTGAAAACTTCTTATATCTTCAGACAATTTTAGTTTACTTATGCACTAAAATAAATTACGGTAGTTAAGTTTTACTATTTCTAATTACATTTGATATATCTACATTTATAAAATAAGCCTTTTAAATGGTTATAATGAAACTATTTCCTGGACTTTATTGACAGCCCATGAAAACATCCATTAGCTATGTAAAGGGAAAATTTTAGTCTCACCTGATGTATTTAAAATTCACAATATTTACAATGTGGTCAAAATATATTTATGTTGTAAGACTGAACAGATTTTCAAAGGAGAGAGTATTAAAATAATTGTCAAACATTAAAAAAAATCTCATAAGTCTCTAAACTGATCTTGTAAAATGCAAATTGCTAGGCAGAATTATTAGCAGACTTTTACAAGATCACCTAAGTATGTTGATGAGTTTCTGTCAAGAATACTTTACATGTAGTTGACCCTGCCTTTGAATCACATAGGATCAGAGACTGATGGATTAAATATTGCCATGATGATAATGTAACTATTTTAAATTTAAGTAATCCTAAGTTATATCAATATTATTGTGAACTTTAACTGCTGCATTATACACCATAACATTCCTGTGTCTTCAGTGCCATCCTGCATAGTCCTGTGTGGTGGGAAAGAGCCGAAAGCAGAGACTTGCAGCTGGTGAGGTAAGAGAGCAAAGAAAGTCTTACAACCCTCTCTGGGTTAAAAGTTCCATTGTGCATTTACATTCTGCAAGGACAGGTCTCAAGCCCCCAGGCAAGAACCCATGCAGTGCAGAGCATGACTTTAGTAGAGACAGGGGCACATACCCAGGCATGCACTTCCCACCTTTACTGACAATGCTACAAAGCCAGAGGGAACCCATCTCAAGGTTTGATAGTACCATGGTATTCACTGACATCACTGATTTCTTCCACTGATTTCTTCTATCATAGCATTGTCAGCTAAGGTCTGAAGTAAGAGAGATTATTTCAATCCAAGGAGGAAAACTATCAATTCAGTAAAGAGACTTTTGTCCTACAGTAAAATTGATCCAAACTTCAATATATCAAATAGGCTGTGAAAGAATGTTTTGTATCTCAGTAAACTGCCACCAGCATTGCAAGTCAGAGCAATGGAAAAGTCCTTTTATCACTTACTGGGTTAAGCAGCAAATTGAGATTTTTCTGTTACATATTCAAAGACTTACAAGCACAATACAACATAAAAGCATTTACAGAAGTAAGGCAAAGACCTTGATGTTTGTCAAAACTTAAACAAGATAAGCAAATAACTGAGCTTTCAAAATTTGTAAGAGAAATGAAAAAAGACCATTTCAAATTTTCAACTCATCTAACTTGCGTCCAAAATAGTTATTTTTTTGTAGAGACTTCTTTAAACACTGTCAGACATCAAATATGTTGCTATAATTTTAAGGTGATCTGCTTTATATTTTAACCTTTCCTAATATCTAAATTTACAATCTCCTCCAGCTCATCAAAGGATCCAAAATAGCTGAAATCTGAATGCTCAAGTGCTGTAAAGGAGGGACACTAGTCTCAAAAGATTTCCTTTACTTTTGGTTGTAAGTCAGCTGATGTCCAACACTTTCATTCAGCACAACATTTCACTTTAAATGAAGTTTCTTTTAAAGAAAGTCTTTCTACTCCAAGTCTATTTCAAATTAAAAGTTTCAAGAATTAAACATTGTCTTTCCTTTAAATTAGCCCCGTTCTAAAGTACTTGAAATACTACCAATTCATGAACAATTCTGTATGTCACCAGCAATGTAGTAAAAATGTCTCATATTAAAAAAAAAAACAAACCCAAACTATTCTGAGAATCATCAGAGCTATAGCTTATTAAAATTTATTCTCTCAAAATATGGCAATCAATTTTAAATTGTTACTTCTGAGCAAAGCAAAGAAGAAAATTAAAATGTGTACAGCATTTCCATTCACAGACCATTAGTAATAACATAAATCCACATTTCATGCAAGTTACAAATAAGGAGAAGGAACAGATTTAATTAATCAATAGGAAGTTATTACCATGACATTACCAGCGGATGTTCAGGAGAAAATTAAATTTAGCTTATAAAATGATGTCACAAGCAGCAAACCATAATTGCCCAATTTTTTTTTCTGTCAAGCCAAATTGCCAAAACTCTGTGGGTGCCACTTGATCAGTTTGTGAAAAATCCTTACACATAACCGTATCACTTCTGCCTGTTCCCAAACGTTTTCCTATGAAACATTCACACAGCACATAGACACAAACACTGCATCCCAGGCTCCCTTTGCTTCATAACTGTTAAGAATAGAATCTGAGTAAAATGCATCCATATATAAGGACGCCTGAGCAGTTTTATTTATAGAAATAATAAAAAAAAATCCCTCAAGGGAAAAAAGAAAAAAAGTACAAGTCTCTCTCACAAAATTGATTATTGACAGGTTTCCATCTTCTATGAGCTCCAAATTTGGAAACTACAGACCAGAGTTTCTAAAAGCATATCTTAGAGATTTCATAATTAAGATGGTCTTATTAAAAAGTGACATTAGTAAGCTTCCTAATGAATCACAAAAATTGGCACGGTCTGCTTTTTAAAAATAAACCTTTAAATTTTGAACACATGGTACATTTGCCTACTAATAGTAAAATATTTCTCATACTGTGATTAAAACAACTACAAATAATTAGTCATTAGTAGGGCATTAAGCTCAAACAGACCAAAGAGCAAAGGCATAACAGAGTAGTGTCTCACCTTACCAGATATTGAATTCCTGTGTCTTTTGGTTATTTGAAATCATAGGAAGTTTTCAGGAGAAACAGTACTATCATTATCACTACTTTTTTCCTCCTCTTGTGAACCTACACTCATATAAAAATGGTTCACTGTGGAAATGCTAAATTTAACCATTTGAGAGTTGTTTTTTTTGGTTTTTGTTTTCGGGTTTTTTTTGGGGTTGGGTTGGTTTTGGTTTTTGTTTTTTTTTTTAGGATATAATTACTCACAGATCACTTCAACTGCTTTGAAATTATTTTTTTCAGCCAATGATTGACCCACATGAAACAGCTCTCTGATCTCTTAGTTGAATGCTAAGTATGTTAAATCACAATCTGTTTTATCAGTTCCTACTGAAGAAAATTTCCCTGTAGTTTCAGCTGATGATAGCACTCCTTATTTCCTCTCCTCTTGCACGCACATGAATCAGCACAGAAACAATTTGCCATGTGCCAACCGTGTCTTTCCTCCAAGTCATCTGATGAGGTATCTCTGGAATCATTTATTTGCAAATTTTAATGAGGTTTTGCGTTCAAGCAGTAAAATACAGATAAACTGTGTGGTGCATCCAGAGCAAAGTTCTACTAAGCATTTCTAGCTTGAGCAGTCCACTTTCAGAACTTGTAACACAGACTTTCACACTTCAGTCAAAGTCTTTCATGTCATCTTACATATCAGTCTTCTCCAGCTTTTAAAAAAATGCCCAAGCCGAAATAAAAAATTTAAAGCACTTAACAGAAGAGCATCACATCCAGTCTGACATGGAAATACCTTGAAGGACCACTGAAGGTAGCACACCCTTCAGTTTAGAGCCTGATCATGAGCAGCGGTACCAGGTTACAAACTCACAGCTAATAAAACAGGCTGGACTATCAGACTGCATTCTTTAGCAAAACCAGCACTTTCACCTTAGATGGAAGAGAATAACACTTTAAGGCTTGAAAGCAGCAAATTCAGCCTGAAGCTAACTGAGTTTATAGAGGCCAGAAGGCCAGTACAAAGCAATGGAAACTCACAGCTTACTTTGGTGGGGTTTTTTATTTAATTATCTGTACAAAATTAACTGAAATCCTGGTGCACACACAGCTATGGTCTGATTAATGAGATTTATTTATTTCTATCAGGCTGACACCTATACTGATTTTAGTATTCTTGTGAGAGCATGAAATAATAAACTCGTCTGTCCATAGGCACATCTCAAGATATCCTGAAAGTTCTAGGCAAAGAAATTACATCACATTTTACAAGCATCCTTTCACACACATAATGAGAAACTGACTACATAGTTTTCTTATGTCATCTTTTTCCCAGAGTGCTGCTTCTGGTTTGAGAAAACCTTATAAAACAGAATACATCCAATGCACTCAGTATTTTATGATTCCACATATACAGAATCAAGTAGAGAACCAAAATATTTTCTCTGTATTCCATCCATATGAAGAAAACACTG